GCCGCCCGTTGCTAAACCTGCCCAGCGGCTGACTACAGGAAGCCCGAGGCAGAGTTGCTCTGCCCCAGGCTTCCTGGAATCAGCCGCTGATAAGTTTCAGCAGCAGCTGACTTGGGGACACCTGGGGCAGAGAAGCTGGGGTGCTGCCGGGTTGGTCCAGTAGTGCCGAGGAGCGGCGTTGCGGGACCAACCCAGCAGCACCCCAGCTGCTCTGCCCCAGGCGTGTCTGATTCAGCCGCTGCTGGTCAGTTTCAACAGTGGCTGAATCTGGACGCCAGTTCCGACTTACGTACAAATTCAACTTAAGAACAAACCTACAGTCCCTATCTTGTACGTAACCCGGGGACTGCCTGTATCTGCATTTGGGTTTATAATTTCCCACAACAAGCATACTTGCATTTTCATCATTCCTAATTTGCTTTTCTCTGTGAATTTATTGTCATAATGCCTACATTCTCTTCCAGCTCATTAATGGAAATATAAATATGTAAAGTTAAAGGCCTCGACGACTGACAAACTATTTTTTTGTTTTTTTAGTGCTGAATAAAATATTTTATAGGAAGCAAGTTCTTTTCTTTTTCCCATTGTGCGAATGTGAGGGCTTTATTATTTATTCAAGTTCATAAGATATATTTTCCACTGCTTAGTAGTAGCTCTACTAGTAATTGGATCCGTGGTGGACTCATTGCTTTGAAGGCTTCCCTAAGATAAATATCCATGGATCCTTATTAATGTCATGCCCCATAATTTACAAATCTTCCTGTATTTTATCCCAATATACAATCAGTGGATAAGAGGTCCAAAAACAATGGAATTAAGTTGCAAGCTTGCATTTGCTACAGAGTGAATAAGATTTATACAATACATAGTAAGAATTATGCAACATAACAGCACTATAGTAAAGATAAAATATAATCTTCTATTTAAGTAAGCATCATTGCTTTACTATCAGTCTGAATATTATTGAGTTTGCATTAATCATAACTATTTGATTTGATTTTTTTTGTGCACTCTTTTATTCTTTGTCTATTCCTGGTGTATTTCAAGCAACCATTGAGTGGATACTGTTAGAAAAATTGAAAATAATATAATCATAGATGTATGAATGTAAGCGCAAGGAGGGAGGAAGAATAGAAAAGGATAAAAAGTTATAGCCCTATAGAGAGGAAATGTTTTATGTGAAACATATTACCATTTAAAGCAAAAATGCTCAATGTTTTCCTTTTTAAAACTGCTTGCCAATTTTAGTGAAATTTTATAAACAAACTAATGGAAAATACAAATACATAGGAGATAATGTCAGAGTTGGGACATTGGCCTGTGACA